GTAAGAGGAAATTGATGTTTTTTATTCGTTTTATATTTTGTAAAACTATCCCACCCGATATAAGCCTAAAGTCCAGTAAACGAAGCATTTTGATGGCCAAAAATTAGCATACGGCTGGATTTAGGCCCAATCGATTCCACATACAGGGTGTCCCAAAAGTCCTCTCAACCCCCTCTAAAATTTTACGTAATTAATATTTTTGAAACGAAATTTTGGGGATGTTCCTCTGATCAATGTCAGCTACTTTTGGGCCTCTCCACGTGGGGTGGGAGGGGCTGCGGGCGGATCCCAACTTTTTTTTCAAGTGGCAACCCCCCCTCCCTTTGTCACAAATCAATCCAAGGCGGGTAAAAAAAGAAATGCTGTGGCGTAAACTGCAAATCAAAATCTTGATTTTTGACAAAATGGTGGCCGGTCAAAGTTCAAAATAACGGAAATTTGACAAATCCGTTTTTGATGACGGATTGAGATGAAACTTGACACCTGCGGGTTGTTTGGGACGAGAAAAACGATTCTGATATTAGTTTTCCGGAAAATCCTGTCCCTTTCAAAATGGCGCTGGTCAAATTGGCGCCCTGGAGCGGTATGAGAATGAGAGTATTTAGGCTTCTTATCAAAGGATTTGAATGAAACTTGGTAGCCAGGGTATTTTTACATGAGAAAAACGAACCTTTTATCGGATTTTTAAAAATTCTGAATAACTTCTAAATGGCGGCGGAAAAATGGCGAAACCTTGGTAATAAGGAAGTTTACTGATGAATTCGCATGAAACTCGGGGTTCTATTGGTTTCTGGCTTCTTCCGCTGTACATTTTTGAAATGCTGAATACTTTCAGAATGGCGAACGAGTTTCATGCGAATCCATCAGTAAACTTCCTTTTACCAAGGTTTCGCCATTTTTCCACCGCCATCTAGAGGTTAGTCAGAATTTTTAAAAATCCGATGAAAGGTTCGTTGTTCTCGTGCAAAAATACCCCGGATACTAAGTTTCATGCAAATCCTTTGATAAGAAGCCGAAATACTCTCATACCACTCCAGGGCGCCAGTTTGACCACCGCCATTTTGAAAAGGACGGGATTTTCCGGAAAACTAATATCAGAATCGTTTTTCTCGTCCCAAACAACCGGCAGGTGTCAAGTTTCATCTCAATCCGTCATCAAAAACGGATTTGTCAAATTTCCGTTATTTTAAACTTTGACCGGCCGCCATTTTTTCAAAAATCATGATATCGATTTGCGGTTTACGCCACAGCGTTCCTTTTTTTTTCATCCGCCTTTGATTGATGTGTCTTAAAGGGGGGGGGGGTGGTCATTTGAATAAGAAAAACCAGGGTCTGTAGCCTCTCCCCAGGGGGGAGAGTGAAAATTTTGGGGGCCGCAAAAGTAGCTAAAATTGATCTATGAACATCCCTAAAGTTTCGTTTCAAAATATTAATTAGGTAAAATTTTAGGAGGGAAGAAGGGACTTTTGGAACACCCTGTTTGAAAAGGTGTTTTTAGCCAAAAGTCTCCATGAATCCCTTAAAGGGATTCCGCACAATCGTCCAATAAAGTTGACAATGGGACAAATTTTCAAAAATTCACTGTGGAGCGGGAAATGAACTTAGAGACTCATTTTTTACTTTCTCGTTCCCCTAGTTTTGGATAATGAAGGTAATTGAGTCTGCTTTTTGAAGAAGCTATGAGTTAAATTATATCCGAGTGAAGTCGAACGAAATTAAAAATTGAGAATATTGGATCCACATTTTTTGTATTTACGTTTACGTGAAGGCCCGGATCGAAAAATACCCTTCAGTAAAAGTTGTAGATCGTTCTTTTTGTGTTGATTTGTTGTGTTACATCATTGGTTTATCTTAAAAATTGAGGGAACAAAAGGGCAAAAACGGATCGGGTCGACACGCGACCGCCTATGTTTTCAATCGTAAATTGGCGATTCTAGATAGCACATCATGGCAGTGATGGTTAATTCAGCACCGTTCGTCTACTTACGACCAAAATGAATCATGTCCACCATAAAGACTCTTTTCTGGAGCGCCATGGTTGCCGGTATTTACTTTATTTCTTAACCGATCACTAATTTGTTTTGGCGGCCATTCAAGTAATACTTAAGGCTCTTTGGATGACTTTTTAAATCTCCACCCTTCGTAAAGCAACAGTGCAACTACTTTTCAACCCCCTTTTGTAACCGCCCTGATCCCCCCTCCCCCCCATTTTCCAGAAAGTGACAGAGAAAGTGTGAAAACTGGCTGACTTTTTTTTTTCAAAATTATTATTTTCATCTAAAGTGGGAGGCTCACGTAAGACTTGACTTGACTCCCCTCCCCCTTTGTAAGACTGCGAGAGTCAAACTTAGACCTCCTACCCCTCCCTTTTTGAGAAACTTATATAATACTTGAATGATCCTCTATTTCGGCCCAAGTAGCATGGAAAGTACCATGAAAAATACAATTTACCAAAAGTTTTAATAGTTCATTTTTGTAGTATTGATTCGGTGTATCGTATAGGTATTTTGATCGTAGGATAGGTTCAATTTGGAAAACAAGAGAATCTAATGGTGACAAGGAGCTTTTATTCATTGGTCGTTTCGCTAACCCATGACACAAATGACAAGAGACACGATATAATGGGGATCATGAATTTATATTGCGTTATTGATGCTAAAAATCTTTCTCAAAAAAGTGTGCAGTGGAACAGGCTATAAAAAATGGGGAAGTGTTTTAGTCCATCTGAGGGACCAATAGCATGAGCAAATCATTATTTTCCATTTTTACCAATTTTTTTAGTGACTTGGCGAGCACAAGAACATTAGGACTTAAAATTTTAGACCCTTCTCATAGCAGATACAAGGAGGGTGCAAGAATTATGTCATTGAGGGATATTTTTGCAGCTCCGAGGAGCGCCTAGCAGGGCAAAAGATATGTAGTCCAGGCAAACAAGGAAAACAGCCTGTAAAAATCCCGGGTAGCAATGTTTTCATCGATTCCTATGTAATTTTTGACGCTGAATCCGCATTTCAACTTTGCGCCATTAAATTCGGACCGGAAAGTTGCCAAATTTGGCAAATCGGACTTTTTTCCGGATTATGGCCTGTAACTTGCCAAAAATTGATCTGACGATAAAATTAGTTATTTTCAGAAATAAAGCTCGTTAAATTTCCTATAAAAAAGTTCTTACACTTTTTTGCTCAAGGCAAAATCAAGCGCGCTGGCGGGCTCCGAACTTTGTAAAATGTGCAAAAATTGCGCACACTGTAATGTGTTGGGTTGCCTTTATTATTTACATCAATTCATTTCACTAAGTTTAAGTTTTATCATCTTCACTTAATTTGTGCAGAAATTACTCGTCGGACGATTAAAACAGGAGACATCGGGCAAAAACCGCGAAAAACACAATTTTTGCTCATTTTTCAAAGTTCGGAGCCCGCCAGCGCGCTTGATTTTGCATTGATCAAAAAAGTGTATAGGAACTTTTTTATAGGAAATTTAACGAGCTTTATTTCTGAAAATAACTAATTTTATCGTCAGATCAATTTTTAGCAAGTTACAGGTAATAATCCAGAAGAAAGTCCGATTTTAGGCCATTTTTGCCAAATTTGGCAACTTTCCGGTCCGAATTTAATGGCGCAAAGTTGAAATTCGGATTCAGCGTCATAAATTACATAAGAATCGATTAAAACATTGCTACCCGGGATTTTTGCAGGCTTTAGCCCTTTTCATGGCTTATTTGCCTGGACTAATGGTTCTTATTGATTGATTTTTCAGCAAAGTCCTCTTCCGTTCCCGCGAGAGGGACAGTCGGGCCCGCCTTGCCAGGTGGGGATGTCTCGCCGGGAGAACCACCAGTCCTTTCGACTGGGGGGGGNGGGGGGGGGGGGGGGGGGGGGGTGCGGAGATTTTTAGTTGGGGTCTCAACCCGTGAGCACACCCCAATCTCGTGCCTGCTGGGTATGGGTGACCCTCTCGATCCCCCAGTCAGTTGATTGTGGCTGTCAGGGGGTGGGACTGGCCGCCGGTTTCTACCACAAGCGGATAGTGGTTGCCGGAACTAGGTTTTTTTCCCTGCTTTCAAAGCCCAAAAAAAAATGAGTCAGTAAGTTCAATTCTCCCTCAGCAGTGAATTTTTTGAAAATATGTCCAACTTTCAACTTTATCGGACCATTGTGCAGAATCATCCCTGGGGATTTGTGGGGACTTTTGGCTAAAGTTATCTTTTTATTTGTAGAATCGATTGGTCTTGAATCCAGCTGTATGTAAATTCTTGGCCAGAAACAGGACCTATATGCCTTTGTTTACTGGACTACAAATTAAAAGGGCAAAATATAAATATTTAACACTTTTGTTTCAAGAATTAAAAGAGGTAAGCAAACTTTATTGAGCTTATTAGCCTGTCACAATCCTCATCTAAAATTATGACAAGCTTGATTAGTTTTGTGGCTGATAACCATCTAGCATCAAAATAGAGAAGAGAAATTGATAAAAACCTGGAGGCAGACCGATTTTAAATTGTTTGATGAGTCACAAGCAAAAACTTTTCAGATTCTTGAATTAGTGTGTCTGCTGAGTCAATGAGTTAAGGAAGAAAGAAAAATTCGAGCCTTGGGAAAATAAAGTCGATCTAAAGGTATTTTGGGGCGAAAAAAACCCCTATTGCCCGTTGTAGTCCAGGCTTATTATTTAAATATGCATATTTTAAGCCTCCAAATACTCTTAGTACCAATTTTAACAATTTGGTGATTTTTGGGGGTCTAAAAGGACGAAATTTTGGGGTTTTCGGGGGGGGGGGGATTTTTTTTCTAATATTGTTTATGCTACAATCGTCGATGAGTAATTCTGAAGGGCATTTCCGATTACATAATTAACATTTTGACTAATCAGGTGAGGGGGGGGGGAGGGCATCAGGCAAAGAACCTTGTACAAAAAGGATCAAAATTCGCCCGGGTTTGGGCCCTCGAATCTGGGGTCGATGTGAAGTTATTTTTCATCCTTAGGATGACCCTTTACAC